GTGTTACCATTGGTGGTCTTGGTGTCTTTGGTCCCATTGTTACCAGTGGTGGTCTTGGTGTCTTTGGTCCCATTGTTACCAGTGGTGGTCTTGGTGTCTTTGGTCCCAGTGTTATCAGTGGTGGTCTTCTTTGGTCCCACTGTTACCAGTGGTGGTCTTGGTGTCTTTGATCCCAGTGTTACCAGTGGTGGACTTGTTGTCTGTGGACTCAGTGTTACCAGTGGTGGTCTTGGTGTCTGTAGACATTGTGTTACCAGTGGTGGTCTTGTTGTCTGTGGACTCAGTGTTACCATTGGTGGTCTTGGTGTCTTTGGTCCCATTGTTACCAGTGGTGGTCTTGGTGTCTTTGGTCCCAGTGTTATCAGTGGTGGTCTTCTTTGGTCCCACTGTTACCAGTGGTGGTCTTGGTGTCTTTGAACATTGTGTTACCAGTGGTGGTCTTGTTGTCTGTGGACTCAGTGTTACCAGTGGTGGTCTTGGTGTCTGTAGACATTGTGTTACCAGTGGTGGTCTTGTTGTCTGTGGACTCAGTGTTACCATTGGTGGTCTTGGTGTCTTTGGTCCCATTGTTACCAGTGGTGGTCTTGGTGTCTTTGGTCCCAGTGTCACCAGTGGTGGTCTTGTTGTTTGTGGACTCAGTGTTACCAGTGGTGGTCTTGGTGTCTTTGGTCCCAGTGTTACCAGTGGTGGTCTTGGTGTCTTTGGTCCCAGTGTTACCAATGGTGATCTTGGTGTCTGTGGACACAGTCTTACCAGTGGTGGTCTTGGTGTCTTTGGTCCCAGTGTTACAAGTGGTGGTCTTGTTGTCTGTGGACACAATGTTACCAGTGGTGGTCTTGTTGTCTGTGGACACAATGTTACCAGTCGTGGTCTTGTCCGTGGACACAGTGTTACCAGTGGTGGTCTTGGTGTCTTTGGTCCCAGTGTTACCAGTGGTGGTCTTGTTGTCTGTGGACAGTGTTACCAGTGGTGGTCTTGGTGTCTGTGGACACAGTGTTACCAGTGGTGGTCTTGTTCTTTGTAGTGGATAAATTGGAATGGAAGATGTTGATTTTGTGGACAGGTCTGCTTCTCAGCACAATGAGTTGAAGTCAAGAGAGTCTGAAGTCAGTAGGTGGATCGGTGTTAATCCACAGGTACATTGGTCTTTAGCTAGTCTACGGGAGCTTAAATCCTGTCTTGGTTGAAACAGCTTACCACCCTGCTTCCAACAAAGTTTTCTTCATCAATAATTCATCAAGATCCAGGACTTTTTGCTCAGTATCATGGGATTATTTAGTAAATTTTATGTATTACATTGACTTGTAGTTGATTTTCTATCTTTCTTCAACAAAATACAACTACATCAACTCTGAGGGTGTTGATTTCTTTGTAAGCAGTGAAAATATTACAACATATTCTGAACTATACTGTATGCAGTGATTTAGGTAAGGTGGCTCCCTTTTATTCAGAGCTACATTTTCTCAGTTTAGTAGCCCCCCTGTGTTGATGGGATTTATGCTTTATTAGAGTACCTGCATGTTGAGTCGACCCCTCTGAGCCGAGAAGCCATGGTGAGACTGAGACGAAGCCTGAAGCTGGTCATCCTCCACCCGGTGAGACTCCAGGCCCAGAGGAGGACAGACTGTGAGGAAGAACAGCCCAAATTAAACTGACACAGTTTCAGTGAAACTAATGTTAGAAGATGAAGACGTTTGTGTTGAAATGAACACAAATGAGACTCGACTTTAAGGTAAGGAAGTAAATCTGGTACTTTTTGGCTCAGCTGCTACTGAAGTCTGCTTCAGTCTCTCCTCTTCTTCCTCCTCCCACTTCTTCTTCATCCGCTCAGCTTTTATGTAACAAGAAAACAATGTGTCAGAACAGATTTGCACATGGACGCTGCTCACCAGCCACCAACACAGAAAACACTTGTTTCCACTGCTCGTCTCCTGTGTTCTTTAGCTGAACTGTATATTTAATTCTCTTTGAACAGGCGTTCTGGGTAGATTTCTGTCTTTTTTTACTGTAAACACTGAGTCATTTACCAAATTCATCCTTTCTGTGACCTCCTGATATGCCATCACCCCTCTGATGTTTGAGGTTTATGTAACGATTCAAGAAGCCAATAATTCCCACCTTTGTCTGCCTTCTCTTTCCGAGCTCTTTCCTCCTCCTCTTCTTGTTTCTTCAGAGCCACTGTCAAAAAAATAATGCGAGTCATCTGCCTGCCACACTGAGGACCTGTGTTTAATGTTAGTTCAGTTGTTGACAAGAAACAGACATACAGTCAGTGTAGTCATAGTCCTCATACCAGGGACCTGCGTATGGGGCCGTGGTTTCCTCTGAAACAGATGAAAATTGCTTTGTTCCACCACCACTCTTTCATAAAGCACATAGATGTAGTTTTATGATGAGAAAAATTACAATAAAAAATAAATAAACTGAAATATATAAATCACAGTTTTATTGGCCTTTATGGACTGTAAACTGAGAAACTAAAACGAAAAAAAATTAAAACAGGAGCACCTCAGATGATTACTCTGCAACTAAAACTTACATCAAATAGTCACAACAACAACAACAACACAGTGTAACACAGTACCTGGTATATACATGATGACTTCAGTAGTTGTGATTTCTGTCTTCTTTTTAACATCTGTAAAGGTTTAAACACATTTATAAACATGAAATTCAAATTTTCTGGATAAAGCTTTGCAGTTGATTGTTAATTATGAAAACAAAATTCTTTGAAGAAATGCATACCACCCAGTGGCGGATCTAGGATTTGTCTGAGTAAGGGGCCATCAAGGGGCCAATATTCATAGAGGAGCCAAGTATTTGTCAGCACACAAGTCCCTGGTTTTGGTAAGGTCTATATGTTTAACCAGTCACACATTTAAACACTTGTTATATAATTTAAAAAAGTGCTTGCACAGTAAATTCTCCTTATCAATTTTACATGCATTTTTATAGTACATAGATAAAACACTTTCAAACACAGCATGTGAGAGAATCCACCTATCATTTGTGAGTTGAAAGACTTTTTCTGCAGGATTGTTCAAATTTTAAAAACAGAAAAAACTTTTGTCAGCTTTCATTCATGCTGGACTTTTCTGTTTGCCTCATCATCGCCTCTAGTGTTTGGACATGGAACTGCACCCAGCATCATCACTATTGGGCAAAGGACAGATGAGTGACAGGACAAGGACACTTCAGGGGTCCAGTCAAATTTCAGCAGGGGCCAATGCCCCTGTGGCCCCGCCCCGAGAACCACCCCTGTTACCACCAGCAAAAAAGCAACAAAAGTGGTCAAGATATTTGGGAGTCAATCTGATTCAGAGTTAACTGACCTTAGTAAACCCAAAAATGTCTTTCACTCATTTTTTTAAACTTGTAGCTCAGTTTTGCAGCTTAGTTTGGTTGTGTTAGCTGAAATACCCCTGATCAGTAGCAGATCAAAGTTTGGTGTAAAAGGAGGCAGCTGATATAGCTCTGTTTCAGCACTGCTGGGCCTTGGACCGATTAAGCATTAAAACCAGTTAGGTCTTACCCAGGCCCGGTTCCACTGGCTCCTCCAGGGTCCACTCTGGGTCTACGGGCTTCACTGTGGTCAGGTCTGGTTCCACAGGCTCCTTCAGGTTCAGTTCTGGTTCTCCAGGCTTTATCGGGTTCAGATCTGACTTTGGGGTCACAAGTTGATTTACTGAAATGTTTGAAAAAGTCAAACAAAGATTTTTTAAACACTCAAATCTTTTTATCCCAAGAGACCAAATGACTAAACAGAGTAAGACCAAAATAATCATCATTTAAAGCTAAACCTTGTCCAGGTTTAATTATATATTTTTCATTTTCCCTTGAGCCAAAATAAATGTTTAAAATGAACTCACACGTGTCCAGGCTGAGTTTCTCCTTTTCCTGCTCCACAGAGAGAGGCTGGCGGTCCGGCTGCACTGTGGTGGTAGTTTTGGGCTTTGGCGCCTTTGGCTTCTTTGTTGGCTTTGGTGGTTTTGGTTTTTTGGTGGGTTTTGGTGGTTTTGGCTTCTTAGTAGGCTTTGGAGCTTTCTGTTTCTTTGCTTTAGCCTCTTTTTCTGCGGCCTTCTTTGCCCTGGCTTCAGAAAAATGTAGAAATGATTAGATAATGAAATCCATGGTGTTTTCTTTACACATATTTATTAAAGTACTTTCTTTATGGTCTCTTTGTTCAGTGTTTTTACTGCAACAATAAAACTTCAGAAATACAACAAATTTGACTGGATTCCAGACAAACTGCTGGTCTTTAAAGAACAAAGACAACAAAATAACAATGGAACGTTAGTTTTTCCTCGGCCGGTGGGTTGTTTCACAGTTTCTCCCGAATTTACTAGTGAGAGAACGGACATCTGCTCTGTGTGGGTCTCGGTCCAGTTCTGACCTGTTTCTGTGACAGTAGAAAAACAGGATTTTGGGTTTAGAAGAAGCTCACGAGGATAAAATGAACATGTAAAAGTCAGAGTTAAGTTAAAATTAGTACAAGTGGGGAAAACAACTGTCCATCTGTCAACACGAGGAACATTTAAAATACTTTCATCTCTCAAATATTTCTACAGCTGAAAAAAAAGTTTTCTCAGTTAAAGGTTTCCTGGAGGAACATTTAATGTTGAACATGTTCCAGTCAGGTTTTAAAACTCACCACAGGCCTCAATCCATTCTGTCAGGCTTTTTAATTCAGTCTTTAGGATAATGGACTCCAGTGAGTTTGTAGTGTAGGGGTCACCTCGAGTTACATTATCAAGGAAACTGTCTTGGACTCTCAGTCCTCTGATGGGCCTTCGAGGGGACAAAACTCTGTTCCACTTAGAACTGTATTTAGACCACCTCAGGTCGCTTTAACCATTCAAAGAGACATTCTCTCCCTCCTAAATCAGATAAAAAAGACAGAAGAATCTTCTCTTATTTGATTTATTGTTCTCTTAACTGAAAGTATTACGCATTTTGATAATCAGAGAATGTTTATCAAAGTTACAGGAGAAGAGAGGACAGATCTCTTTTCTCCCTCAGTATGATTTCAGCTATGTATGGTTTTTCTGTGGGAAAAATTCTTATTTAACTAAAATAATCTTTATGGTTTAAGTTGATGAAATATCAATGTTTTACTTGTCTGAATCATATTTGAAAATGTTTTGAACTTGAAGCAATTCATTTTTCTTTCAGTTATGTTTTAAATGCTGTAAGTACTCATCAGATAATTTAAATGGGTTATGAAATGTTTTGTTCTGAACCACACAACAGCAATAATCTTTGTTTTAGTTCCAGGAGGACAGCCAGTTCTGAAACTAACACGTTTCCTTGATAACTTCTTTTTCTAATCTAACCTTCCAGAGGGCGGACCATAGATTCTCTAAGCTTTTAGAAACTAACAGTTCCCGCCTGGCTGACAGAACAGTAAGGTGACGGACCGCCGTCAGCTACCGTAACAGCTAGATTCTCTCCGGGGAATCAAAAGCTGAAAACTGTGTCAGGTTTGGCCCCTTCACGCCAACGGGGAAACCTCACAGTGTGGAAAACCACGCCTGGTTTATCCACCTTCAGAAACTCTCCAGACTGAAGTTTTATTTACAACCTGGGTTCCAGTCGAGGCTTTGCCTTCTTTTTACGGCTGACGTGGTAAATCAAGTAGACCTACACGCCTGGGTCACTCTGGTGGACTGGCCTAAGCGGATTCTCTCAGCAGAAGCCCCCACCTACCTGACAGGTGACAGAACATCATCTCAAGGTAAAAGCTGGCTGTGTGTGACGTTGAGGTCTGACCAAAGCTGAGCACAGAACGCTTCGCCCTTCTGGTTAAAACCACATTATTTAAGATAAAGTATAAGAAAGCTAACACCTTTCTTCAAACTTTTCTTAAACTCTTCCTTGCCAACCCTAAGATAACTTACCTCAAATGTCTGCTATTTAATACCTAAACTGACGTTTGTGTTTCTATTTAAGTGTGGTTAACAATTAAGAAGTTAAAAGCTTGTTATTGTTGGTCCCAAAACTTTTATAGGAAATTAATTGTTCACAATCAGGTGTACTCTATAGTCAATTTTGTATGATTTGTAAAATAAACGATCGCATATCATGGTTCAAATCATCATTCATTGATTGAGAGTTACTTTTTGTGTCCATTCATTTTTGCACTAAAGGGATGTTTATCCAAAATAAAAAAGTGATCCCTTGCTAATTAAATTACTCTTATAACCTTGTTATAAGAAGAGTAAGCTAAACCCTTACAGTAGTTAATGTGAGGATCCAATAGTTCAGTCAGCTCACAGCAAACAGATCCACTTCAGCTTCAGGACCAACAGAATATAAACTAGATGGTCTGTTCCAGTGGGTCTGTGCTCAACAGTAACAGGAACAGGAACAGTGTTCAGGTGGGAAACAGCATCAAAAAGAACAAATGGCAAACTTGAGTTTTCATTTTAGCTAATGTTTCACATTGAGAAGTTTTTCAGAGAGCTGCTTTTTTTTACTTTATAGCAGATGTCCCAGTTGATCAGTTTCTATTGATAACTATTGGACCAAAAATCCCATTCAAAGACACAAACCTGGTCCATTTCTGTCTCCTGGGCAGGACTGGACATTTTTAGAAGAGTCCTAATTTTGTAAATAATAAAGAAAACTTTAAAAGAGTGAATTATGTATTTTCCAGGCACATAGTTCAGTTCCATACCATAGTCAAGTAAGTCTGTTACCTTCAGTTGTTATGAAAAAGCTGTATATATATCAAAAATAAATATGACTTTGCATCAAATCTAAACACCTTGAAATTGGTCTCTGTTTCTTCAAGAATCTCCTACTGTTTCAGACATTCCCACTTCAGCACATCTTCAAACAATGCTTTGAGGGAGGGGTGCTCTGTGGGGCAGGAGCTCGGCTGCACACTGAGCTTCAGGGAGGAGCTTTGTGTAAATGGGCGGTGCTTTGTACCAGTATGTGTTTAGGCAGCTCCACATGGCTACAGGAGATTCAAGGATTTCTCAAACATGCATGAATGCGTCAAAGCAGCACTCTGGGTATGTTTTTGATGAGGGAATGACATTATAACATGACATGTAGCTTAAAAAAAAGAGTTGGTTTTGCATAATACCCCAACTTAAAAAAAGACTAAGTAAGATTTTCTGTGTATTTTCCTGCAGTAAGGTAAGTTGATCCAATGGATTACAAACATTCAAATACACAAAACAGGGTTTAGTTTAATGATCCATTTTATAACCTATTCTGAAAACAGAGAAAGCTTTTGAGTGATGTGATGCAGTCAAACTGTAACTAACATAAAACAGGTATAATAACATCACAGAGAGAAGAGAAAACAAAGTTTCAAGTTTAACACACATAGTGATGGTCAAACATCAGGAAAAACTGTACGACTGATCATTTATATCAACAACTGATACATTTTAGTTCTTTGGTTATGATGTAATTTAGTGCATGTTTTTCATTATCAGCAGAAACACTGGAACAAGATGCTTTTTCTTTTGTTTAATCTAGTAAATAAATAGAAATAAATGATTGAACAGGTGTCTTGTTTGAACCATGAGAGGATAAATTCAGTCTGTAAATAACATAAATACTGTAAAGTCCATCAAAATGTTTGTTTTTGCAGCTTATGTGTTTCACTGGTACCCTGCCTCCGCTCTGTGAGGAGTGTACTACAGACTAATTACAGCTGTGAGCTGACAGATTACAAAATGTGTTGCAAAAACTAAATTCCTGTCCAGAATTTAATAAAACAAAAAAGAAAGCCTGCTTGACAAAAAATATGTAAAAAAAATCCCTCAGTAGGAGATACTTACAGAAGTTTTTATTTATTTTTAAACATAGAATTTATTTGCTTGAGTTTCAGAAAACCATCTGAATTTGAAAAAAAAATTCTCTGACTAAAAGTTATGTGCACTTGGATCAACTCAACTCACGACTTGAGACTAAGTTTTAGGCAACAGCCTCTGTTAAAGCTAAACACTAAAAATAACTTGTAAGGTTTACTTGAGAAAATCCTGTAAACGATTTGCACTAACATTTAAGTAAATTTAAATGCTACAAATTCATGTAATATTTACTTTCATCATTATCTAGTAAAAGTTATTAAGAATATAGTTAAAGATTTATAAATAAATCAGGTAAATTTTACTTGATTTGCTGAATTAAATCGTGTAACATATACTTCATCAAATTAAGAAAACCTTTCCTGATTTATTCACAAATCTTTAACTATATTCTTAATAGCTTTTACTAGATAATGATGAGTAAATATTACATGAATTTGTAGCATTTAAATTTACTTAACAAACAGTGCAAATTGTTTACAGGATTTTCTCAAGTAAATCTTACAAGTTCTTTGTAACAGTGCACATGTGTCAAGCACAATATACACTCACTGGCCACTTTATTAGGTACACCACGCTAGTAACGGGTTGGACCCCCTTTTGCCTTCAGAACTGCCTCAATTCTTCGTGGCATATATTCAACAAGGTGCTGGAAGCATTCCTCAGAGATTTTGGTCCATATTGACATGATGGCATCACACAGTTGCCGCAGATTTGTCGGCTGCACATCCATGATGCGAATCTCCCGTTCCACCACATCCCAAAGATGCTCTATTGGATTGAGATCTGGTGACTGTGGAGGCCYTTTGAGTACAGTGAACTCATTGTCATGTTCAAGAAACCAGTCTGAGATGATTCCAGCTTTATGACATGGCGCATTATCCTGCTGAAAGTAGCCATCAGATATTGGGTACATTGTGGTCATAAAGGGATGGACATGGTCAGCAACAATACTCAGGTAGGCTGTGGCGTTGCAACGATGCTCAATTGGTACCAAGGGGCCCAAAGAGTGCCAAGAAAAGATTCCCCACACCATGACACCACCACCACCAGCCTGAACCGTTGATACAAGGCAGGATGGATCCATGCTTTCATGTTGTTGACGCCAAATTCTGACCCTACCATCCGAATGTCGCAGCAGAAATCGAGACTCATCAGACCAGGCAACGTTTTTCCAATCTTCTCTTGTCCAATTTCGATGAGCTTGTGCAAATTGTAGCCTCATTTTCCTGTTCTTAGCTGAAAGGAGTGGCACCCGGTGTGGTCTTCTGCTGCTGAAGCCCATCTGCCTCAAAGTTCGACATGTTGTGTGTTCAGAGATGCTCTTCTGCCTACCTTGGTTGTAACGGGTGGTTATTTGAGTCACTGTTGCCTTTCTATCAGCTCGAACCAGTCTGCCCATTCTCCTCTGACCTCTGGCATCAACAAGGCATTTCTGCCCACAGGACTGCTGCTCACTGGGTGTTTTTTCTTTTTTGGACCATTCTCTGTAAACCCTAGAGATGGTTGTGCGTGAAAATCCCAGTAGATCAGCACCAGCCCTTCTGGCACCAACAACCATGCCACGTTCAAAGGCACTCAAATCACCTTTCTTCCCCATACTGATGCTCAGTTTGAACTGCAGGAGATTGTCTTGACCATGTCTACATGCCTAAATGCACTGAGTTGCCGCCATGTGATTGGCTGATTAGAAATTAAGTGTTAACGAGCAGTTGGACAGGTGTACCTAATAAAGTGGCCGGTGAGTGTAGTAGCATGACACCTCACAGCTACAGAGAGAGGTGTAGCTTTTGTTGTAGTTCAAGACTTCACCACCAGGTAGTGGTTTTGAAGAACCTAATTGGATTCTTCTTCATGAACAACACAGACAAAGTGAAACTCACAGGTCTTATTAATGACTAGGCCTACCACTCTCACTTATAGTTACTTCTGCTGAACGGTTTAACACAAGTTAACAAACAATGAACACACAAATTAGAGTAACACAACAGAGTAATTGCTGAAAGAACAATGTTAACCAATTCCCTAAAATGATTTAACAACAACAAACATGAATCCTACCCACAATCCTCCACTGCATGTTACTACACCCAAAAATCATTTTTTTCAGTGTACTTACAAAGTTTATGACTGAAATCTTAACCATAACAGGAAATGAAGCAAACAAAGCTGACTTCTTTTACACAGAAAACATTTTCTCTTCAGAACCACTGAACTCTGAGCTGATGTTTAGTTCCACTTCAGAATCTGATTAGGATTATAAAATGTAAAGTTTTCAACAGAGGCATTATTACAGAGAGCAGCTCTTCTAAAGGTTGTAATTCAGCTTCATCACAGCTTTCATCAGACTTTCTGTGGGCTGCTCGTCTTCCTCAACCTCCGCAGGTCAGTGCGCTGTTTAAACACTCAGCCAAACATGGAATTAAAAGATAAATACCAAGTTTTAAACAGGTTTTCACACCGTGTGAAATAAAATTAATGTACAATTCTCATTTTTAAACACTAACAGAAAACCACTTAAAAATATTTTTTTAATAAAATTATTTTGAAGAGGAAATATTTAATTTATATTACACGTAAATTGAAGAACATTCTGAAGGATTGTAAAAAAAATCATCACAAACATCTTTCATCAGCTGTGGAGCACGGAGGTGGGAGGGTGATGGTTCAGGGTTGGTGTCTTACCCGAACTGTTAAAGTAAGAAAAACCTTTCACGTCAGTCAAATATATTGAAGGAAACTGATGTGAGGAATGAAAATGTCTTAAAGAGTTGATCTGTGTTATATAACCTCCTTATTGTTTACTGCTGATCTTCCTCCTGCTTTTCAGAGACTTTTATCTGAAGAGACAAACCATCAAGTGAGGCTGGAGCTTTAAACCAGAACTACACTGTGGCCCAAACCTTCAGTCTCAGTTTTAAAGGTCAGATCATTAACATCAGGAGGTAAATGAAGATGTGCTGTTGACGAGACGTGTGCAGCAGAACCAGAACCAGCTGCAACTTCCTGCTGCACAAAGTGACACATTTTAAACTCATGGCTTGTTTGAACAGAACCAAAGTTTGTCAGGGCTGCAGTTTTCGCTTCACGCAGCGGAAAGTCAGGAGTTGTTTTCCATCGTCTCATAAATCCTCTGCTCACTCATGGAAAACTGTAGTGGAAACATTTCTGCTCTGTGTTTTTTCCACAGACGGTCCTGTCTCACTGAAGAGAACAAGCTCCTGAACCGTCCCGGCTCAGAGAGCAGATCTCTGCGGTCAGACGGCGTTCCAGAGGAAAGACCACACATGGATTCACAGCGAGCTTCTGCCCTGTCATCTCTCATTCACTCCCCTTCATCAAAACACAAACTCCCCTCAGCTCCTCCGCTCCTTCCTGCAGAACAGAACCAGAACTCTCTGGACTCAAGAGGAGAGGCCAGAGGATCATTTTTCATTCACTTTACAAACTAAATAGTTTCTTGTTTCAGAGACTGCACTGCAAATCTGTCCATCTTACCAAGTTTTAAAATCTTATATCAGCCAAAAAGTCTTTTTGATCTTGTTTTGAGACTGATTTACTAAACAAGAACTGATTGTGTAACAATAATAATCTTGTTTTCAGAATGTGTAAGATTATTTGTCTTGTTTAAGTCAAAACTTTCTGCCAATGGAGTAAGAAAATTTTACTTGGTAAGATAATTGAAATACTTGATTTGACTCAATTTTTTCTTATTTCAAGAATCTTACTAAGTAAAATTTTCTTACTCCATTGGCAGAAATTTTTGGACTTAATTTGAGTCAAATTTTCAGATTAACAAAACAAATAATCTTACACATTCTGAAACTAAGATTATTATTCTTACACAATCAGTTCTTGTTTAGTAAATCAGTCTCAAAACAAGATCAAAAAGACTTTTTGGCTGATATAAGATTTTAAAATTTGGTTAGGTGGAGAGTTTTTGCGGTGTGACTGTCTGGTTGGTGCTCTGAGGGCAGCAGAGGCCAGGAAAGAGGTCAACACCCTCCATCTCATGCTTACCTGCTTCGATTTCCTCAGGTGTTTTCTTCTTCTTTGGTTTTGTCTTCTCGTCTTCTTTAACCTCAGCTGGGTCATCAGACAACTCCACGTCTCCTGGTCCTCCAGGTTTGACCGGTCCTCTGGCCTCTCTCATCCCGGCCTGGTCAGTGGACAGCTGCTTCTCCTCCACATGTTCTTCAGCACAGATCAGGGCCCAGCAGAGGGTCACCCCGACCCAGACCACCAGCAGCTCAGACCTCATGTCTCCAAACTGAGAGGACCCAACTGAGCGGACGTAGTCAAGTAAAAAAGCTGTGAATCTCAGACTAGCTGCAAAAATAACTCAGCATCTGAGCTGCAGATGCAGAGGGACGTCTGTCTGCTGGCTTTAAAAAGATGTGGACATGAAAGAGACGAGTCTGAGGAAGTCTGACCAGCTTCCTTCTCTTATGTGGGAGTCAGCACAGAGCTGCAGCCTGCTGCTGGAACTGCATCTGTCTGCAGCTGCACGCCTCCTCCCGACTCCCTCCTTCTCCTTTTCCTTCCCCTTTCTGGTCCCTCATGGCTCCTCACATCTCTGGGCAGAGGGGAGGAGCATCTTTCCTTTGACATTCCTGTAAGGGGGGGGGGGGGGACTTTTCTTTTTGAAAAGTGAAGTTTTACTGAACAAAACAATGAAAAGTTCAGCTAAGAGGTCTTAGACGGAGTCAGAGGACATCAGCTGACAGTGCAGGGATCAATTCACCAATTTTCATTAAAGTTTCAGTTGTCATGTTTAATCTAAAACCTTCAATGTGCTGTTAGTTTACAAATGGAACAGGGTTTTTTTCAAGCATCATGTGGTTGAAGTAACTCTGCCTCAAACAGATGATGTCCAATTTGTTTCAGATCAATTTATTTCTACTTTACAATAAGTCCTCTCAGGGCTCTGTTCAAAGAAACAACAAATATTTATTCAAACCAATTAGTCACTTTATTACAATTACAACCCCTGGCAAAAAGTATGGAATCAGCAGTCTTGGATGAGCACTCATTCAGACATTTCATTCAGTAAAACAAACTCAGATCAAAAACATGATACAATAATAAGGTCATTCCAAAGTGCAACTTGTTGTCAAAGAAATGAAGAGAAAACATTGTGGAAGTCAGTGAATGTTACTTTTATTGACCAAGCACCGGGAAAAAAAATATGTAATCACTCAATTCTGAGGAAAAATTATGGAATCATGTAAAACAGATAAACAAAAGACCGTTCAAAATACATCACTAGTATTTAGTTGCACCACCTTTGGGTTTTATAACAGCTTGCAGTCTCTGAGGCATGGACTTTATGAGTGACAAACAGTATTCTTCATCAATTTGGTGCCAACTCTCTTTGATAGCAGTTGCCAGATCAGCTTTGCAGGTCGGAGCCTTCTTGTGGAGCATTTATTTCAATTTCCACCACAGGTTTTCAATTGGGTTGAGATCTGGACTGTTTTCAGGCCATGACATCGACTGAATGTGTCTTTCTCCAAGGAATGCCTTCACTATTTTTGCCCCATGGCACGATGCATTGTCATCTTGGAAAATTATTTCATCAGCTCCAAACATCTGTTGAATTGAATGGATGAGAAAACTGTCCAAAATGTCAATGTAAACTTGTGCATTGATAGYAGAATGAACCACAGTCATCTCCCCAGTGCCTTTGCCTGACTTGCAGCCCCATATCATCAAGAACTGTGGAAATTTGGTTGTTTTCTTCAGGCAGTCCTCTTCATAAATCTCACTGAATGGCACCAAACAAAAGTTCCAGCATCATCACCTTGTCCAGTGCAGATTCTTGACTCATCACTGAAGATAACTTTCATCCAGTCATCCACAGTCCATGATTGCCTTGATCCTTAGCCCATTGCAGTCTTGTTCCTTTTTGTTTAGGTGTCAATGAWGGTTTTCTTTTAGCTTTCCTGTATTGAAATCCCATTTCCTTTAGGTGATTTCTTGCGGTTCGGTCACATCCATTGGCTCCAGCTTCCTCCCATTTATGCTTCATCTGTTTAGTTGTACCTTTTCAGTTTTCAAGACAAATGGCCCTAAGTTGTTTGTCTTGAGGCTTTGATGTCTTTCTTGGTCTACCAGTGCGCTTATTTTAATACAACATTGTCATTTCTGAATTTTATTGGGGAGGTAACCTCCTAATAATTGTCATTACGTAAACTCTAACTGCTCATTTAAAATCAATACATTTACTTTTAATACGTAAGTACAAAAAATATCAGATATGTTAAGACTTTTACTCAAGTAATATTCCTAAAGGAGACTTTAACTTTTGCCAAAGTCATTTTTTGGTAAGATACTTGTACTTTTACTCAAGTATCACTTTTTAGTACTTAATACAACACTGAATTTAGCTAATTTTGATCCATTTTCAATCTTTATTGCTTCTGTTTAAGTCGTCACAGTTTAGGTGACAGTCGCCGGGAGGAGGATGGGAATAAAGTAAAAAGCTGAACCGTCCAAATTCACGGTCACTTTCTTTCAGTGTTTGCAGTCGACAAAGGGCCCAGCCCTCATTGGTGTGGTTGAATCCTTTGAAAGGATGCTTCCCTTGAATCTGGACTCAGCCCTGGACTCCTGGCCTAGAGGACCAGGGTTGAGATTCACTGATATACAGTACAGACAGCAGCAGAATGAGCGTTGGCTGTATTTTCTCACAGCCTCAGCCAGCAGCAGCAGACGTTGCTCAGAAATCAGCTCGTCGCAGCCACTTCAAATAAACAAACACAAAGTTCTGACCAATCACACAAAGCTCAACCCTGTAGAGATGTGAGAACTAGTTTTGACTGGGAGCACAAGACAGGGTTTCAAAAGGCAGTAAGAGTACACAATTTTCATCACACGTCCACGTCAGTGAGATGTGAAAATGTGCCTTTTCATCTGACAGGCTGACCTTATAGCAGCAGAACTAAAGGCAGCTGCAAACTTCACAAGAATGAAAGATTTCTCTTTCAGGGATGCGAGAAATGAAAGCTGTTTTGTTTTTATACAGTTCTTGCAGCTTGTTCTGACACATTATCTGCTCAGAGCTGTTTTATCTGTAGAATCTGAGAACTGTCTTGTGGTTGGTCTGAAGTGGTAATTGAGCTTAAAGTGAAAATCGTTTGCAGAGTAGAAGTTTGTACAACGGATGATCAGAGGGACAGCTGGATGAGGCAAACAAGTTTAAAAATCCGATGGGTCATTTGTAGAAAGAAGAATTAAGATTAGAGAAGATTTGTCGACAAAAATATTAAATAAAATAAAAAATACATGACCTTTGGAATAAAGTTGTAAAAACATTGGTGATGCTGGTAGGAAACATTCATCCTGGAGGACCAGATTAGGATCCAGGAATTCATCACCTTGAGTTTCTCAAAGTATTAAATACTGGCAGCAGCACAATACAGTATATATACACTGTACAGTATATTATATACTACATGAATAAACTTCATCTTGCAGTATCTTCCTGCTGCTGCTGATGGAGACATGACTGACCCGTACTGCACTGCAAAAACTGTCCACCTAACCAAGTTTTAAAATCTTATATCAGCCAAAAAGTCTTTTTGATCTTGTTTTGAGACTGATTTACTAAACAAGAACTGATTGTGTAAGAATAATAATCTTGTTTTCAGAATGTGTAAGATTCTTGAAATACTTGATTTGACTCTATTTTGTCTTATTTCAAGAATCTTAC